GCATTCCTAGGAATTTTCAAAAATTTTCATACACTTCATTGCTCCTGTGAAGGATGAAAACAAAATATTGGCCAAGAGTTTTAAGGTACACTGCAATTGTTTCTAGACTGAAAGGAAAAAAAGGCGGGGCAGGCAGGATGGGAATTGAAGTGCCAGACCTTGAAATAAGGTTTTATCATGCATTAATAATATAATATATTTTATGTTGTGTATGACAACCTCAGAATCTGTCAGTCACTCCGTCTGACATAAAGGACAATCTAGTGCAAGACAGCAGACTAGTACAAGACTCTCTTTTCAGGGAAGTTCACTGCCTCCCTGGGGTCTGAATTAGGGATGTCAGCACAAGACTGAAGAGCTTAGTACAACTTCAGACTACTACCTCTTCCTGCTCTTTCACACAGGTACTAATGATGTCGTAACGAAAAGTGTGAGGTTGATTAAATGATTTCAGAGCCCTAGGAAGAATGCTAAAAAATTCAGGAGCACAGGTAGTGTTTTCCTCAATCCTCCCAGTATTGAGGGGAAACTCTGAAAGAAACAAGTGAGCCCAGGATAGCAATACCTGGCTCCAGAACTGGAGCCTCAACCAAAATGTTGGGGTTTTAAACCACGGAAGAGCCTTCAAGAGGGAAGGGGAAGGGAAAGGGGAAGGAATAGATGGGGTATTGACCAGCTCTCTAGGAAGCCTGTTCCAGTGTTTGACCACCCTCTCAGTAAAGAAATGCTGCCTAATGTCCAGTCTGAACCTCCCATGGCGCAGTTTTGAACCATTCCCACATGTCCTGTCACTGGATCCCAGAGAGAAGAGATCAGCACCTCCCTCTCCAGGCATTTGGACAATGCTCGTAATAATTTGCTTTAACTTTTGGTCAGCCCTGAAGTGGTAAGGCAGTTGGACTAGATGATAATTGTAGGTCCCTTCCAGGTGAAATATTCTATTCTACCCTGTCCTATTCTAAGTGCTAGCCTGGTAAACAAAGTTTTTGTTGCTCATTTTCTAGTAAGTTTTGTAGTTATGTCCCACTTAGACATTTTTAGCAATTTCTTCAAAATGTTATTACTGAAGAACGAAGATTTAACTAATATTTTATGTTGGCATACCACAGAAGAAGTTAACCATCCTACCCTATAACTCTCCAAAAGTATTATTTCCAAGCCATGGCATCTGAGCAGTAAGGACAGGGAATGGTTATTCAGTGGGTTGCATTTCCATTCTATTCTTGAACTACATTAGACCCTATTGCTCACTCACAAATAACAATAAACATAGTCTCAAAACTCTTTGAAAAAAACAATGATCTATTTATTCTCTTCTCAAAAGACACATCGCATAGTCCCACAAATCCAACTTGGAAACTCTTCTCAAGATTCCAGAAATACACTGGGAGCAGAACATAGAAGCAGACATACATAATTTGCATGAACACTAGTGAAACATCTGTACACACTATTTTCAAGTTCACTCTGGAATGTTACTCATTAGTGATAAATATTACTCTGAAAAGGTCAATAAAAGACTAAAACCAACCAATAATGGCTATCAAGTTGCCAAGTTCTTCACATCACGGACTGTTTCTCTTGATTTTTACACAGGATCAAGTGGCACATTACGATGATTTTCTTAATTTACTGGTATTTCACAGTAAGTTCATGTTACTTATGTTTTATTGCCACAAGTGCCCAACACCAGGGAATTCAGAGATGCTTAACAGTAGCCTTCACTTATTTCATAGTGAAAGCTATTAGCATAGTGAAAGTTACTTACCTCCATAATATCCTCTAAATTCTCCTCTGCATCTGCTTTTTCAGTCATTAGTTTGGCAGCTTTGAAATAGGTCTTCATGAGTAGATAACCTCTCTTGGCCCCATTCCAGTGAGAACGGGGAATTTCCACCAAACCATAACCCAGAAGCAACACAAGAAGAAAGAGACCCCATGTGTTTGCAGCAGCTATCCCAATTGTCTGAAGTTGGTTCCTAAAGAAAAAAACAATAGCAAAACCAACAACCAACCAAACAACATCCTCCTACCCCACCCACAAGAAAGCAACCTTGAAGTATCCAGGCACCAATATGGCTTTCAAGTTTACAGGAACAGACTTGGCATCATTGGTAATTCTTGCCTAGGGCCAGTCTGCTACTTAGCCATATTTAAAGCTGACACAATTTTTCTGTATCTCCCATGTTTCTTCCTCATCTGGAGGGAAGACAAAAATGTTTGTTTTCAAAGGAATATGTTCCTTTAGGAAACAAGATGAACTTGGCAAACTTACTGAAAATGAAGTCAAAACACCATAATTGCAGTCACTATAAGAAACAGCCTCAGAACCCAGAATTTGTATTCAGAAATTGAAGTGGAAAGCAACTAGGCATTACATGGCAGTGTTTGCTTCTCCACCTAGTATGGAAGACCATTAGCAATGTTATAAATACCAATTATTTTAACTTACTGTATTGCCTTTAAACGGAATCTACAGTAGACAGAAAGGCTACACAGGAAATACTGACACAGACTTATTGAAAGATGTTATTCTGAGAACACTGTGAAAGGATCTGCACTAACTTTGCAAATGTACTTGTAGGGAGAAAAAAAAAAAACCATTGCAAATATAACAGGATTCCTCTGCCATACATATCAAAATCAGAAAACCAAGAGACATATTTCTATAAAGAATCAAAAAATCCCTTTACATAAAAAAAGTTAACAAAACTTTCCAGTTGTCTAGTAAAAATCAGACCAATTACAATTGTTTTTTAAAAAAGACCCATTTCACCTACAGAAGAGATTACCCATGACAATTTCATAAGAACTAATGCACGTGCTCAGAACATTATTCTTACCATTGCAAATTGAAGTTTGGGTTTACAGCCACATATATTAAAAATGCTCCAAAAATCAGCAAGTAAGTGCCATAATAGATTGCATTCTCAATCAATGCAGTTTTAATCTTTCCAGTAATGGAGAACCCTCCTGATCTGGCATATGACTGCATAAAAGGTAGCAGAATCCTAGAAGGAAAGCAAACAAAACCAAACAGCATCAGTCAACCAAAAAAAGTAGTTTAGCAGTGGCAGGATACTGAGACAGGGATGTTTAAGCTAAAGACTCACAAGCTTCTCACAAACTAGCTGGTTCTATGTTTTTATTCTAGATATACTTGTCTGATGGCAAACGTTGAACAAGCTGGAGATAAAAATCATGCTGTTAGCTTTACTGTAAAAAATCCGCGCTAATTGAGCACCTCACTACCAACCCTGATATTCTTGACTGAGCTACAAAAATAATTATTTGATGATAGGTTGATCAGAAACCACTCAACAAGGGACAGAGTATACTCTGAAAGGACAGAGTGTACCCTCAGCAAGTTCACTGATGATACAGAACTGGCAGGAGCGGCTGATACACCAGAAGGCTGTGCTGCCATTCAGCAAGACCTGGACAGGCTGGAGAGCTGGGCAGAGAGGAACCTGATGAAGTTCAACAAGGGCAAGTGTAGGGTCTTGCATCTCGGGAGGAATAACCCCATGCACCAGTACAGGCTGGGGGTTGACCTGCTGGAGAGCAGCTCAGCAGAGAAGGACCTGGGAGTCCAGGTGGACAACAAATTGACCGTGAGCCAGCAATGTGCCCTCATGGCCAAGAAGGTCAATGGTACCTTGGGGTGCATTAGGGAGAGTGTAGCCAGCAGTTCCAGGGAGGTTATCCTCCCCCTTGACTCTGCCCTGATGAGGCCACATCTGGAGTCCTGTGTCCATTTCTGGGCTTCCCAGTTCAAGAAAGACAAGGAACTACTGGAGAGAGTCCAGTGGAGGGCAATGGAGTTGATGAGGGGACTGGAGCATCTCCCTTATGAGGAAAGGCTGAGAGAGCTGGGTCTGTTCAGCCTGGAGAAGAGAAGACTGAGAGGGGTTCTCATCAATGCTTATAAATACCTTAAGGGTGGGTGTCAAGAGAATGGAGCCAGACTCTTTTCAGTGGTGCCCAGCGACAGGTTAAGGGGCAACAGGTACAAACTGAAGCACAGGAAGTTCCACCTGAATATGAGGAAGAATTCCTACACTTCGAGGGTGACAGAGCACTGGAACAGACTGCCCAGAGAGGCTGTGGAATCTCCTTCTCTGGAGGTATTCAAAACCTGCCTGGATGCGATCCTCTGCAACCTGCCATATGTGAACCTGCTTTGGCGGGGGCATTGGACTAGATGATCTCCGGAGGTACCTTCCAACTCTGACCATTCTGTGATTCTGTGATCAATCTAACCCAAAAGGACAGACAATCTGTTTGCTGTAGCTGTATCTGTACCTTTATATAGTATAGCCAATAAAATCAAATAATTTACAATATAACACAAAAATTACACAACTTATTCATGGAATTACTTTGCTGTCTGGTAGCCTAAAACCCATTTTTTTCAGACAATCTACCCATAAACACCTGTATGTGTAAATTGCTCAGTTTCAACTACCAAAGTGAAACAAGAGTAAATGGCTGCCACCTGAAAAGGTATACACAATTTAGTACATTAATTATTAGAGAAATTTCACTGCTAGCAAATAATACATGATTAGATAGCTCCATGGAATAGTGATATATATTCTTAAAGAGTATGACATGAGTGTTAAGATATTGCACTTAGAAATTATACCTATATCATGGTCTTTGTCATATTCTTTTGCATTACTTACCATGTTAAAAACTGTGACGTCCAATACACAACACGCCAGAAAATTGGCATAATTCCATTAGGAATATAACTCCACGGTTTGAAACATTTTTGCTTGCTGTAACAACGTAAAGAACCTTATTGTCAGTTATAGGGCCAAGAGTATAAAAAACATTGTCTATAAATTTCCCTATCTAGAAAGGACTTTGAAGACAGCATAGAAGTAATACACTACTATTTGAGTACGTAGTCAACCATCAACCGTCTCAGAAGAAAATAAACTCAATCACCACTTAAAGATATCTGTCATTCTCCTCACCACAAATAATATATCTGGACAAGACAGCAGCTCAAAGACTAAAGAGAAATAAGCAATTAAACAATTTAAGGTTACAATTTTTCTTTTTGGGCAGGAAGTACTTTCTTCATGTAAATAAAAAACATGCCTCTAGACAGATCATTTAACTTTAGTTAGTGCAGCAGGTTTTTAAAAAATACCCAGGGATTTCATCATCTAGTTCGACTACCTAGAGCCTTTAGTGGTAAAAGAAGTGTATTAGTTGTTTCGTCTGTCACCCAGCTGGATTTAGTCAGGCTTATAGAAAATTTGATTTGTTAGGCCAATACTTTTCTGACAGGTACTATTTGCTTCAGAAGACCAGAAAAACCATGAAAGCCATTTTAGTAAAAAAAGAGCAAAAGACAAAGTGCCCATCTACACTCAGACACTTTGTTGCTGTTTTTTCCCCACATCTGTCTGGGTAATGAAGCAATGGTGAGTCAAGGGGCAATACAGTCAATTTAGCAGGATTATCTATTGAGAAATAATTGGTGTTTTCCAGGGTTAAACTAGTTAAGCCTGAGTTGTGAGTTTTTATGTACCATTAAATTACCATAGAATGACAGGTAGTGTGACTAAAGGTTTCAAACAAAGTTTTAAGATCTGAGTTGCACCAACACAGTACCTGCTCAATTACTACTTAAGTTGATATTTCTATTTGATTTAATCATGTCATATGCTATAGTATAACATCCATCAGCATGTTCTGAAATTATAGGTTAATTGAAAGGCTATTGAATAGTTTTCAAGCTGTGTATTTACCTATGTTTAATTAAGGTACACTGGATGATCTTAAATAAAGGGTACAAAGTTGTGTCACTAAGTTTGGCACTCTACTGTTCTTCCATGGATACACAATATCCAGATAGCCTCTGCTTTGGGGCAACAAAACTGTCGATACTTTGCATGGACGTACCAACTGACATCTTAAATGCTCTAATCATCTTACAGATAACTACACTGCACACATCTACAAGATGTGGAAATAGCCAATGGAGGCTAAAGAATGACCAGCCATGGAAAGCGTCCACAATTCACCTACATTCAACATGTTTTAGGGGTTACTTCCTTCCTGGCAGAAGACAGCAAGCAGGCTATCATTACTTTGGTATAATACACTAAATTTGAGATAACGCCAATTACTATATACATCAGTGTATATATCTTTCTATATATATTATAATAAGCAATTATATATGCTGCTTACATATAAGACAAGCCTACTAATTTCATTCATAAGGTATAAAATTAGATTTTCAGGTCTGAACTCTTTAAGATTGTGAGGGAAAGATAAGCATTGACCAAGGCCTCTCCTTACAGACAACCAAGATTGGTCGAAAAGCTTAGTTCTATAGCTTTAACAACAAAATAGAGAAATTTAGCATGAAGGTTTTTCTTTTTTAAAAAAAAGAAAAGGAATATTTAGGTAATCAGTTAAAACTACCATATAATTACTACTAATAGATGCAGATGCACTTTTCTTCACCTCTTCCTCACCTTCCTGTACACTTACAATCTTCAAATGTCATATCACATAGACATAACACTTGTTTATTAGTCTTAAAAACACAGTACACTCCTATAATTTAAAAAAAGAAAAATCATAAAACACTTCTTTAAAAACACTCTAATGAAGAAAAGATACAGTTCATACCTTGGAGCAAGAGTAACGTAAGAGCCATTACTCTCTGCAGGGCTGGAGTTAACAGCAAGTTTGCACCGATTATAAATAGTCTAAAAGACAAATAATTTTATATCACTGATCAAAAAGGTATAACATTTATTTAAAAACAGCAAGTCGCACTTTTAAAGACACTTCCTGTACTCCAGGTCCATATTTGGGAGCAATGACACTAATAAACCCTCAAAACAACATGCAATCTGCAGGACAAGTAACTAAAAAACTGGAAATGTTTTTATATTGTCTAAACAGATAAAAAATTGTTATAAACAAATAATGACATTTTAAAACATTTGAAATAGATTTGTTGTCTGATAAGGTCAACAAAAAGTAAAATTAATTGTAAACACAGACACTGTCATGCAAAAAGGTAACAGGTATTTAGATGGATAAGACACTATTTGGAAAATTTATTTGCTGTTTAAGACATTGTCTTCTGAAATTATGATTTTTTTAAAATACCATACACATTTTACACAACTAAGCAGAAAATCTTGCAAGTTTCTTACCGTACTGACATCCAGAGGCAGTATAAATACAATAAGAAAGCAGAGATACCAAGCTAATAATGTTGCTATGATCACCAGCCTATGCTGTTTCTTGAAGTCTCCATACCGATGAAGTAGGAATAAGGCCAGAAAAAAGACAAATACTATCTCAAGGCCCAACGCTGCACCGCTCATTATTGAATGTTAACTCCAGCCACACAGCTCAGCTCACTGAAGAAAGCAGAACTGTAAAACAAAAAGACATTTAATTACATTAAGATATTTAAATATAAAAGAGTTGCTTAACAGACATTTTAAAACATATTAATAGACTTTTCTTACTTCACATGACAAGAACTCTGATCAGATGAAGAACAAGATTTTTAGCAAGGTCCTCTAAAGCACTCTGCAGAAATCAAAATATCATGTCATTCCAATTTTGTCACTTCTAGCAACATATTAGGACAACTCCTCTTCATCTTCTTGATTTACAATAGATCCAGAAGTCCAGTCTCTGTCCTTGCATAATACTATAAGCTTAACTTTTAAGTCCATTATAAATTTCAAAAGAAAATCTATTCTGCTCTTTTTTTTCTTTTAGAAGAAATCAGCTAATTTGGACAAAGGGTTAAACGTTTAAATTCAATGTTTCTGGAAAGCTAGTGAGCAAGTTTTTTAATAGACCATTCCTCAACTATGCATCTAAATTCTATACTCAGAGTGAACAGGGCATGAAAATACTGCAAAGCATATGTTAGTCTACTTGTGATGTACCTCTTGTAGGTTCAAAATTTTATGTAGTAAGATGTAACATGCTAGCGAATTCACCTTCCTACTCCTCTTAAGATCTTCGGAGAAACACATCTCAATTAATTCGTTATTAGTCTTGCAATGATATATTTTTGCTTTGCTCATCCTTCTGTGTTTAGTTACTCTATGTTATAGCCAGGACTGCTAGAAGTGCCTAGAAAGTTCATACATCTTCACACAGGCATGCTTTTATGTAAAGTGCCAGTGAGCTGCACAAATCTATTAGAGGATTTCACTGACCTATTGTATCATCAGTTAAACTGTTTCTGTCCTTTTTAATAAGCATCATTTTACCACAGGTACTTCACACGTTAAAAAAAAGAAGTTTATTACTCTAGTCTGACTGACTTGCTTCTCCATCAAGGTTACCATTTTAGGTGGTTTGATTTCACTGAAACAGTTTTTTCTGTGGCTTCCTCAGTGTTGTATTTTCAGTGCTTTCACTTTTCACTGGAATTTTAGAGATTTAAAAGAAATGCTACTACCCAAATCTCCCTCAATTTACTTTAACAAATTCTGTGGGGATTTAAAAGTGAACTATTTCTTTTACTAATTTCTCAGTATACTGCTTAAGCAGATCTGTAACAGATGAGGGCACTAAGCAGTGAAAACTAAAAAATTCCAAAATTTGTGAAGCCAGTACTTCCTTGAGGACACACAGGACAATTTTTCTGCAATTCTTCCCCAAAGATCTGTTTCCCCCCATTTTGCTACTTTCACATTTAATTTCCAAATAGTAAGAGCCATCTGTTTACTCCATATTGGCTGTTATACACAGAGCATCCCATACTCTGAAAATAGCTCGAGCTACCTTCCTGTTTCTTATCAAAGATGCAGGCACTTATTTTTTATCTGCCTTTCATCTGTGTTTATCGTCACCATGTTTATCAAATTATTACCATTTCTGTTAGGTCAAAGCATTCCCTTACTATCTGCCTGTACTACATTTTAGCTAGATCATCTGTAAATCATGAAACCAGGATATCTAATCTATTTCTCAATTGCTTATTCTAAGTAAGTCCTTGTCTATTCTATTGTAGTATTCCTGTTTCCTCAGAAAACAGTGTCTTTTGTATTTACAGTATACCACCAAATTCCACCAGAAAAAAAAAAAAAAAAAAAAAAAAAATGA